GACCCGGTCGTGGCAAGCACGTTTTTTCAGTTCGCACTCGTTGTCATATGTCACGCCGTCCTTGCCACACACCATTCTCAATGCCGGCTGACAGTTGTACACGCACATGCAAGACGGCCGACTGTCGCTGTCGATGAAGCACTGCTGGCCGTGGAGACATTTCATATTAGAGCATGGGTTGTCACCTATGTAATTAGCCAACCAGAGTAGAGAAGGTAAGAGAAGATGCTACAAACCAGATTCGCACGTCCCTTCGTATATCATGCGCAGATCGACGTTGCTCTTGCATGCGTCAACCGCCATGAAACATTCATTTTGGTATGTCTTTCCGTTCGAAGCACACACTGGTCGAATGGTCAATGGACATTGCTCTGAACATCGACAAACCGGCTGACGCAGTGAGTCCAACTTGCATATTGTGCCATCTGGACAAGTGACGTGAGCGCAGGGATCTGAATGGCATTAGGTATCACATTTTTGTTAAACAGTCAAGAATCAACACAACTACTGTGCGGGAATTGCATGATATGATTTTTGAGAAGGAGGAGGGTATTCAGGAACCATGATAGAGAGCTGCATCAAAAACCACTGTCTGATTATTGACTGCAGGAAGAGTACACGCCCAAAGGCCACGTGTTTTTCACGCCTAAAGCTGCCAAAACTACCCAAGACAAACGACATATGGAGAGCATTGAAAAAGAGTGAATGAATGAAGGAATCACAAGATAGAGTGAAGAAACTGTTAATGCCTGTCGGTGATTGGACCTGAACCAGTAGATATTTTCAAGAGGACTTTACCTCTTACTGAAAGATTATTTGCCTTAATTAAAGATTTTCAAAGTTTGAGACCCATATGAATACGAACTTTTCAAAAACCACTGAGCTGTATAGAACAACCTGGAACTTAAGCCGTGAGATTGATAAATGGGCCGCACATTGACTGATAGAGGTTTCGCACCACTCTCTTCGAAATTTGCTAACTTTCATAAGGAAGTCGCGTAGACTGTGCCGTCTTTTGCCTGCCAGAAGAAAGCACATAACAGTGAAGATTAAGTCTCAAAAGCCGCACTAAAATAAGTAATGCATCGGTGAAAGGGAAACGGAAATTCGCACTTAGACTCCCACGTGCTAAGTGAAGTTTTAAGAAAGCGAACCAGCGAAACGCAGCTGACAGTTGCTCATTCTTTGATCGTTTCAAAGCACGTGAAAAAAACGGTTTCGGCAGGAAGTGAATGACGGCAAAAGTTCCATTTAGTACTTACCGCATAAACCTATATATTTCACCTTGATATCTCGCATGGAATTGCACGAACTGCTAAAATCATATAATATTGGAGCGTCGCTTTACGCTAGAAAAATAATACTAACCGTTGTAGGTCGCAAAGCGACTCGTAGTCCACTCCGTCTTCTCCACATAATGGCCTAGATCCTCTGTTATCGCCAAAACGGGGGCACTTGTCCGGACAAATACACTGTGCGATCTTGCCATCAGCGGATACTACACACTTCGATCCATGCTGACAATAAACCGACAGACATGGATCCTTTTCATCTTAAAAAAAACTCTGGCTCATTTAATTTATCAGATATTCAAAACTTTAGTAAATTTTTGCTGGAATCACTACTAATTTAACTGAACATGATTAATATAGAAGAACAGCAATTTTACTCTTGGCCTTGAGCTCAAATAACTGCCAAGTTTCACTTTCCTATGGCTTGATCCGCTAGTCAGTCGCCAGTTCGTTTATTGTTACTAAGTTTTAGTCATGTGGTTGCTGA